GACCTGGAGCTGGGCTGCTGTGAGTCGCCGGCTACGGCGTAGGCTGCAGCCCATGCTGCAGTGGGTTGCCATGGGCTACCGTGTGTGGCCGGCAGCCAGCATGAGCTGCGGTCCAGAAGCCGGTGACTGATCTGCCTCGCCTGGGAAGAGCGCAATGATGGTGCCAGCTTGGGCCAGTGAAGCGATGTCCTCCCCAACCAGACTGAAGAACAAAAAAAGGACAGCAACTTGTCTGTTCCCCTTCCCCCAATTCCCCAGGACTGTTCCCATCCTCCAATTCCCCAATAAAAATCTTAAAAAAAAAAGAAAAAAAGAGGGCCAGCCAAGTGGCATGTTAGTTAGGTGTTAGCTTGGGATGCCAGCTCTGAGCAGCAGGGCCCTGGTTCGGATCCCACATGAGGGCCAGTGACGCTGCACCCTCTACAGCTAAGATGGTGAACGGCAGCTCAACCTGGAGCTGTGCTGCCATTGAGTCGCCAATGACGGCGTAGGCTGTAGCCCCTGTTGCAGTGAGCTGCCATAAGCTACCGTGAGTGGCCAGCCACCGGTGTGAGCTGCCAAGAGCCACTGTGAGCAGCTGTCCAATGGCTGGCAACCCATCTGCCTCGCCCAGGAGGAGCGCAATGATGGTGCCAACATGGGCCAGTGAAGCAACGTCCTCCACAACTAGACTGCGGAGCAAAGGGACGGCAACTTTTCTGTTCCCCTTCGCCAATTCCCCAATGCAGTTCCCCTTCCCCAATTCCCCAATAAAATCTTAAAAAAAAAAAAAAAGAATGAAAAGCTATCTCCCACAATACAGACTCTGGGATACAGCCATCCGAGATTTGGATTCAGCTGTCTGGGGCGGGGCCCAGGAACCTGCATTTCTTCAAGATTCCCAGGGAATCAGGTGCTCAGCCAGGCGGGAGACCCGTCACCCCAGAGGGAGCGGGGATGGGGAAATGGCGTCTTCTTCACCCCACCTCAGAGATGACAGCAAACTAGCATTTCTTGCGCACTGTCTCTGTAGCTGCGCTGGGCTACACTCTCTCCATGTGATATATCTTGCCTCTGCTCTGTTGCAGAAACCCCAGGACCTCGATTCTACTGCTTCGTGGCATGTAAGAGGGGACTAAGGCCCAGCAAGGTGGGGGTCACCTGTCCAACATCATAAGTTCATCAGGGGTGGTCTGTCCCACTCCAAACTCTAGTGCTCTCTGCCCAGCCTGGGGCTGCCTGTCCTCCCCGACAGCCCATGTATTATGTTTTCTCCTTCATCACAATCCATTTGGCACTTCCCCGATGTCTGTTTCGTGCTATTCTATAATTATCTTCCCCCAACGAGATTATAAATTCCTTGAGAGCAGGGACCAAGTCTTCTGAAATGCAACAGTGTTTCTATAACACTTAATGATGTGCAAGGTGCAGACGAGGCCCGAGCCAGGAGCCGCCTTCAAGGAGCCTGGCTGGCCACACTCTGCTTGTCCCTCGGATCGGCTGACACCCAGTACTGTGATGGCCTAGGTTTCGGGGCCTCTGGGGAAGGCAGCCCTAGTGGCTCCATGAGCCCAAGCCAGAACCAGAAGGGACTACAAACACCCACGATCTCAACCCAGCGCTGACCCACTCAGGGGCGAGCATGTAACCACAGGATCAAGAATGGAGTCTCAGTCCTGCCTGGAGATCCAGGACAGGCAACTGAAGACGGTGGAGGGGGGCTTAGCCCCGCCTTTACGGGCCCCTAGAAACCTACCAATCACGGCCACATCACCCCCAGGAGCAAATGGGGCCATGTGGCTTAGTGTGAGCTGTCGTTCTGGAGGAGAGAACTGTTTGCACGAATAGGAAAGGCACTCAGGGGTATAGCTCAGTGGTAGAGCATGAAGGTAGAGCAAATAGGAAAAGCACTCCAGGCAGGAGGAACGGCCTGTGCAAAGGCCTGGAGGTGGGACCGTTCTGGGTTCTGACTGGAAATGAAAGTAGCTCACCTGGGGTCTTTGGGAGTAACTGGCCTGGGAGCCACACAGCTGAAAAACTGCCACGTGGAGCTGCCATCCATCCCTCCTTCAGATCAAGCACAACCTCTGGGGCTCCCTCTAGTGGCCATAGTTACAATCTCTCCGGGAGGCCCCCACAGTGGCCCATGCTTCTTGCACCATACTTTCTCAATCTGGAGTTACCATCACCAGCAGCTCCAACCACCAGGAGGTTCTCCAACAGTGGAGACAGCATGTGCTTTAGGGTCAGACACTTGCTGTGTGACTCTGGGGAAATGGCTTCACCTCTCTGAGCCTGTGTCCTCTGAGCCTTGTACAGAGAGGCTAGAGATCAACTCTACACACTTGATATGAGAAATAAACGAGGTAATGCTGGGGAGATAGTCAGGTGCCCAGGATGGGGGAGGGTCTGCCTATCTGTGGGCACCACTACACTCGTCCCCCTAACCATGGTGCCCAGGAGAGGGGACACCTCTGCTCTAAGGTGTGTCCCCACTGGCCAAATGTGGAGCTCTCAGCCCAGAAGAAATGACCTGCAGGGGATACTCCCCACTTCTCTGAGGACGAAACTCTGGGGCTGGGCTATGAGTGGGGAGGAGGACACACGTCCTGCAGCCTCAACAGCCCTAAGCTGGGTCCTTCTGCTTCCCAGGTAGCCTTGGGCCCAGGGTTCCACCATGGTGGGCAGTCAAAAGCCCCTCTCCCCCTGGTGGGAGGGAGCATGGAAGGATGGCCCCACCCCAGAGGACAAGCCCGTAATACTCACATCGTCAACCTTTGGCTCTGTCACAGGGACCCACTTGTAGATTCGCAGGGATGTGTCACCCACAGTCACCCACTTCTTCTCCCTGCGGAGGAGGAGAAAGAGCCTGTTATCAGGGGCTTCGGGGCGCTGCTCACCCCTCTGGGGGCACCGGCCGTACTCCCTGGGGGCAGCTGTGATGCAGCGACTGCTTGGGATTAAGAAGACAAGTTCCAGGTCACACAGATGAGGATCTAATCCCAGCTCTGCTACCCATCAGCTGGGGCCCCTGGGCAAGTCACTTCACCCATCTGAGCCTCACCGTCCCCATCTGTTACACCACCATCTGTTAGACCACGTAGGGTCGTCCATCTCTCGGGGCTGCTGTGAGGATTATACGAGACAACGCGCATTAAGGTCTCCCCAGTGCCTGGAAGGAGGTGCTCGGTAAGACTGCGGGGAGAAGGGCTGCCATTAAGGTGGCTCATCTAGATGAGGGGAACCAGGTCCCCGAGTCCTTTAGCTTTTGCCACACAGAGCTCCCAAATGGGGCCACCCCAGCCCCTCTGGGCAGCAGAGAGGACTTCAGGCGAGCAAAGCCCATGTATGCATGGCTGCCCCCACCCCCAGCCAGTCCTAAACTCCTAGGGGACAGAGACCAGGACCCCTGGCTGCTAGAGACAGGTTTATGGACGAGGGGGAGAAAGTCATAAGCTATGAGAAGGAAAAGGGGTGACTGGTTTTCATTAAGGATAATAACGACCCCCCTCTCCTCCTCACCACTATGCTCCAAGCCACTGTCATTCTCTAGATTATTGTCACAGCTCCAGAGCTTCTGTCTTTGACCCCCTGTAGTCTATAAGCCAGGCCATGTCCCTGGGAGTGATACCCAGAGGCCATGCACCTGAGGGCACCTGGGCTCAGGGAGAACCCACTGTAGGGAGAGCTGGGATTCGAACCCGGGCAGTGATAGCTCTGCTATCCTGGAAGAAGTGAGAGGTCATGAAGAATCTGTCCACTGCTCAGTGAGGCAATTAGCTGATTCAAGGGATTGACAATGGGACGTCAAGGCCAGACGCACGCCTGATACAGGTGGTGTAGCTGCCAGGAGCCCTCAGCCATTTTAGTGACAAGGTTCCACCAGAACCGAGAACTACACGTGGCATGAGTGCCTCTGCTCGTGAGCTGTCTGGCACCTTCTCCAGCCTCCCCACCCAGGCCTCTCAGCCTTGGGTCCTCTCCTCCGCGGATAGGGCGGCCGTCACATGCTGGTGGGACATATTACAGCCACCTGTCGCCCCTTCACCACAGAGAGTTCTGGGCACCCGAGCACACTCAAAACCACCTAACCAAAACCACAGACACCTCTACTCACAAAACTGTGCCTGCTTGGGTCCCACACGTTCCCTGATGGAAGAAGGTAGGGCCTCGCTTTTATATCATATATTATATATGATAATATATTATTATTACGACCATTTCTGGTGTGTTCTATGTGCTAAGCACTGTACACACTTGCTCTAATCTTCCTATAACCTTGTGTGGCAGAAACTGTCACCTTCCCCGTTTGACAGAAAAAGAAACTGAGGCACGGGGAGGTGAAGTCATCTAACGCTCCTTGTCGCACTGCTGTTTGGAGCAGCCTCTCCTGCCTCTTTTAGCCCAGAAAGAAGGTAGTAAAGGCAGAAACCTAAGTCACTGCCCACCCACCTCCTATGTGCTGGAGGCAGGATGGACAATCTACAATCCCAGTCTTTGCCTACCTCCATTCTGAATAATCAGAAGGTGCCAGGAAGGGACAGAGGCGGTCCAAGAAACAGTCTCAGTGACAAAGCAACAATCATAATAGCCATTGTGTGCCGAGGCTTCGTGCCAAGTGCTTAATTTACATGCCCTCTCTCCCAGAGAGTGCCAACAGGCCTATGTAAAGGGGGGGGGGGCTACTATCACTCTACTTTATAGATGGGGAAATTGGAGGCCCAGAGAGGTTATACCACTAGTTCATGGTCACACAGCCAGTCAGTGACAGAACCAGGACTCAACAGAGGCTCTGACCCCAACACCCACCTTCTGCTATTCTGTCTCCTGTGAAAACTAAGAACCCGTGCCACAGAACATGCTGGGAATAGAAGCTGGGCAAAAGTGCAAATTGCTAGAATCCTGTATAAGGACCAAAGGCACTGTCTACTCACAAGCCCTTGGCTGGCTTTCTGGGTCTGGGCCCCAGCACATCAGGAAATCCACAGTTTGGTTGTGTGGGAAAAAAAAAAGTAATTGACTTGCAAATATACAAGACACCTTTCAGGGCAGATCTGGGGTTGCGGCCACACACATGAGTCAGGATGAGTGTTTGCAGTCACAGGTGCTTCCCAGAGAGGTCACGGGCCCTGCAGGTTATGAACTCAACGCAGCCAGGTCGTCCCTTTGTCCTAGGTGGAGACCCTCAGCCCGAGTCCCCAGCTCACTGTGCTTCAGCTGCATTCCTAGGTGTGGGCACTGAGGGGCTACCAGACAGGGGAGAGTGTTAAGGACCTGACCTCAGGCCTGCCATTCAGTCAGCAGCCACCCAGGAAGAGACAGGGCCCCCGAGCTCAGGTGTAAAGTCACTGAGCAAGCACCAGCGAGGAGGAGAAGGGATTTCATGGACGTGTCGCATGAGCTCAGAGCGTCTCATCAAGCTGGCGGCTTGGCAGCGCCCTGGGAAACACCACATGGGCTCAGAGGAGCAGCTGAGTTCCCACGGCTGCCCCCAAACCCAGCACCCAGGGCACACAGCCCCCCCCCCCCCACGAGGGTATCAAGCAGTAGTTATTACCTTGCATCTGGGGTGGCAAACAAGTGGCCATAACATTGTTACCTGTTGAGGCATGTTTGGTCTGGCCTGCACAGTGCTCTTAAAAATTGGAATCAATTGCCAAACTTAAAAAAAAAGTCAGACGATATAAAAATTCAGGTTCCCGGCTACTTTAAAAAACATGATCTGACCACGAGGGGCCCCCAGGCCTCCCAGAGGAGCAACGGCACTCAGCAGATGGGGCTCAGCAGTTCCCTCAGATCTCCCAGCTCTCTCCACCTATAAACACTGGGCCCAGATTCCCAGCGACCCCCAGGCCCTGCCCCACCCTTGCCATAAAGCTGCCCCTGGGAGTGCCTTGATGGCCCCGGGGAGCCAGCCAGGCATCAGTATCTCTCTCTTCCCCATCAGACTTGGACACCTGGACGAAAGGACTAAATGAGGTCCCAGCTGTAGGAACAGGGCCCCAAATGCTCCTCCTCAGCACACACTCCTGTATAAACCACAAGCACCCATCCCAGGTTCTCCAGGCCAAGGCCAATTTCCAACGTTCTCCCAAGTCCAGCTCCAAGGGCGAGACCATCTTGGGGTTACCTGGTTCCCTCAAAGACAGTTCTAAATCCCTTACTTTGTATTCACTTCCCAGGGCTAGTCCTTGACACCTCAGGAGGTCTGGCCAATGGCTGCCCTTCTCCTAATGAGGCCCAGGCCCGCTGGACCTGCCCAGTGCCTGGCAGGAGGGTACCCCCAGAGGTACTGAGGTGGGGTCCTAGGCACAAACCTACCCCACATGGAGAGACACGTGGGAAGTCCTCAGAAAGTCTCACTTGAGGGACCCTTCAGACCAAAGGCCCAGGGGGCCCCAGCCCAAGCCTACTTCTCAGCGCAAGCCACTGCCTCTCACCTAATGAGCCTTCCTCCCCTGCTGTTTTCCACTCACACTGGACCACCTCACACTGTTTCCTAAAAAGGGGCCCACCATTTTGTCCTTCCTTCAGCCATCTTCTGGCTGCCACACACTCACCAGCCTGCCCTGCTGGGACACCAGACAGAAAGGAGAGGAGGAGAGGCCAGCAGCTGTGGACAGGATGGCCACCGCGGGCTGCTGGCTCTTTCCAGGGGTAGGGGAAGGGTAAGGCTGGCAGAGGGTTGCCAGGGGTCACCGGGGCTGGGGAGAAATACCACCCTAGGCTTCCAGGCTGAATGGCATGTCCAACAGCTCCTTTCTCCTTTGGGTACAATATAGGATGCTGGATTAAATTTGAATTTCAGATAAACGAGTCATTTGTTTCAATATAAGTATGTCCCAAATATTGCATGGACCATACATTAAAAAAAAAAAACACAAAACCTATTTTAAAAATGATTTTGTTGTTTACCTGAAATTCAAATTTAACCTGGTGTCCTGTAATTTTATTTGCTAAATCTGGCCACCCAGCATCCCAGCCAGCGGTGAACTGCATAGTTGGTGGCCACGCAGTTAATAAACAACCCAACGTCTGGAGGACTGACTGGAAGGCCCCTTCTAAAGGCACAGTGGAGGTGAGATTTAGCTTCTCGAGGCTGGAGAATCCCAAGACATAAGGCAAAGGTTTTTTTTTTGCTTAGAAGAGGCAGGAAAAAAGAAAAGAAAAAATTTCAGCAAAATGCAAGTTTCTGCAGAGCCCACCTTCCAATGAAGAGAACATTTAATGACCGCTCCAGTGCGCAGCGGGAAGGGCTGTGGGAGACATGAGCTTATTCTAGTGGGGGAGACAGGGAGGAAACAGCACAGGACCCCTTTGCTGCCATGGTTAGAGAAGTGCCATGGTTTGCCCAAGGTCACAGCAAGGAAGTGAAGTGGAAGCCCAGACGTGAGATCCCCAAGCCTGAGGTCTTTGGAGGACTTGACAGGCTGTTTCCCAAAACACAAGGAGGAAGGAAGATAAGTTCTCCTCCCCTCTCCCAAACACAGGCGGGGCCTGCAGTGGGCTCAGCAGCATCCATGGCCTCCAGGCCGGCTGCTCTGGGGCCCCCAGGGTGGAAAACCCCACAGTTCCATCTGCCCTCCCTGCAGAGCAGCTGGCAGGCCGCCGTGACAGGAGCAGCTGTCAGGGTGCAGGAGCCTCTCTGCCTGGCTGGGAACCTGGGGCAGAAGGCCCCACCACGCCTCCTGGAACAGAAAAAGGCAGCTTGCCCCCAGCCCCTTTCTCACCTCCAGGCCAGTGACAGAAGGGACTTCAGGCCCACACACCAGTTCTTTCTTTGCAAAGGCGCTAAGACAGGGAACAACTCCAGCCTTCCCTCTGGAAATCCCACAGGGGAGGGGGCTGCGGACTTGTTTTCCTCTGTGTGTGTGTGTGTGTGTGTGTGTGTGTGTATGTGTGTGTGTGTTTTGGCCTGCAGCTGTCTCTGCCATTTTTAAATGGGTCCACTCCGACTCGGGGTGCCCGGAGCACCAGCAGAGCTACCACAGCACCGAAGACTTGGATTTCAACTTTGGAAAGTCTCCCCTTCTCACGGTTCTGAAAATTCTTTGTCCCATTGGAGCCAAACCCAGCCCTCGGCCGGGCATCCAGCCATCTGCAGACAGCCCTTTCCATAGGAGGCTTGGGAGCACGTGGACTTTATTGATTTTCCTCTTGCCTTTTTTGTTGGGTTTGACTCAGAAAGGACAACTAACTTGTGACACGGCTAGACTGGATCCTCGCCCCCCTGTGGTTTTTAGAGACCAAGGCGTTCCTCAAGAAATGACCCCCTAAACATAAACATAGCCCTCCACGGGGGGTTGGGAGGGGGCCTGCCCAGCTTTCAGGCTTTAAATAAAGGGTCAGGACGAGCCCGCCGGCACTGACACTCAAGAACGTCGCGGCTGCTCCTCTCCCTCCCTGACCCTGGTGAAGCCGTGGGAAAAAAAATAAAAAAATAAAGTTGAAATCAGGGAGCTGGGAGTTTTCAACAAGTCTGCCCCAACCTGGAGATGTGCTGCGTCTCGGGCCTGGCCCTTGAGCGACTCCGAGTCAACATTCAGTCCTATTAATTACAATAAGGCCACGCTGGACACTCGCTCGAGCTCGAGAAACACGCGCGGCCGACCCGGAGTCGCCCTTTCCCCCCCACCCCCCACCCCCAGTGCCGAGAACAAAAACAACGGCTCCCTCCGCAAAACAAACACGAGCCGCTGGTTTGGAAAAGGCAGACGCGGCCCAGGACCAGTTTCTGGGCAAAAACATTCGCTCGCCCGAGCCCCGCGCCTGGGTACCCGGCGGAGCGGGGCGCAGGGGGTGCCCGGCGCCCCGGGCCCCGCGGCGCCCCTCCTCGCGTTCGCCCCCATCTTGCTTCCCCGCCAACAGCCCTCGCTCCAGGCAGCCCAAAGCGCTAAATTTAAACGGCTTCGCGCTCTGCAAACTCCGCAGACTCGAGGGCGCCGGGCCTGGGAGGCGGGGAGCGGGCGAGCGAGCCAGCTGGGGAGGGAGCCGGGGAGGGAGGCCCCGGCGCGGACAAGGGCGCGGGGGCCGGCGCTGCGCCGCCCGGGGCGCGCGGGGAGGAGACGGAGACCGCGGCGGCCCGCTCGGCGCTGCACAATGGAGCTCGCGCTCTCCTCTCCGCCGCCGGCATCGCGGCCCCGGCGCGCGGGAAGCCGCTTTCATGTGACTTGCACAAAACGAAATGGCTTCTGGGGCCGGCCCCGAGCCCCCCTCCCGGGAGCCGAGCGCCACGGCGGGGACTGCCCGCCCGCCGCCCGGCCGCCTGGCCGCCCGGCTCGGGGCG